AGTCGAGTTTCTCGACTCGACTCGATCGGGGGACTCGAAACGGGTCGAGTGTCGAGTCCGCGAATCCTCTGAAAAAACTCGAGCGAGTCGAGTCGAGTTTTACCCGTCGAGTTTATAAAAAGCTTGGTGAAAGCTCGGCCCCACATCGAGTTTTTTGCAGACTCGACGAGCTTTTGAGGCTCGAGCGAGTTTACGAAAAACTCGGTCGCGACATTGGCAGCAAGGACAAATTGTAAGAATTTCACTTTGGCGGGGTTCTTTTTAGATCGCGATTTCAGTTAGTCCTCTTCCTAAGCCCTTCGTAAGTGGAAACTTGAGCCTAGACAGCCAAACTCGTGGCTGGTTTTTTATCTTAAACTTAAGTTAGGTCTACTAGGAAATTGTAGATCTCTCAGTTTTTAGTTTGTTAATGTCGCGTTTTTCTCATGTGCATTTTTCCGAGTAATACAAGGGTTTATTTATGATGGCCAAATTTAAGCAAGAGGTGAGTAAGAACCCTTGTACAAAAAAAATTGGTGTTTCCACAGCCCCCGCCGGCCCCCCCACTCCTCCCCCCCCTCCCCCCCCCCCCCCCCCCGAGCCGAGTTTTACTCGGCTCGACCGAGTGTAAGAGAAAAGCCCGTCGAGTTTTTTAACACTCGGGCCCTATTTGGCCGAGTCTCGAGTCCAGCATCAAGAGAAAAAAACTCGGTCGAGTTTCCCCCGACTCGAGCTCGAACTCGGTCGGGGCTCGAGCCAGACCGAGTCGAGTTTTACTCGACTCGGTTAGTTGCTCATGTCTATTTGAGCATCTTAACACTGACTTTTGAGCCGACTCAAATTTTCAACTCAAAAGTGACTTTTGAGTCGACTCAAAAGTCACCTTGGAGCAAGCTGTTCAGTGTTCACTCCTTTGAGCATCTTAACACTGACTTTTGAGCCGACTCAATTTTTCGACTCAAAAGTCTCCTTGGAGCAAGCTGTTCAGTGTTCACTCCTTTGAGCATCTTAACACTGAACGGTGCTTGGTTTCCAGGGCAAACGCATAGATAGACAGATGGAGGGTAGAGCACGTGTCCATCTTTTAGGCGCCTCATAAAACTGATTTCACGATATTGAGGCGCCTCGAAAATAGCATCTTAAAGCGCGTGCTTGGCTTCCAGGCAAAAGCATAGAGAGGGACGGAGGGAGGAGGGGTGTATGTATGTCACTTGTCAAAATCGGACCCCAGGCCCAGGGTCGTGGCCATGTTGGTTGCCGTTTAAATTTCAGTGGCTCAACAAGAGAGGGGCGAAGGAAGAAAGCAGGCTCACTTGTCCATCATGCCCCTGTTCTTTGCTGTTTTGTTTCCAACAGCTCAACATTAAACAGGGGCGAGCAGGAATGTGCACTCACTTGCCTATCTCACACTCACTTGCCTATCTCACACTCACTTGCCTATCTCACACTCACTTGCCTATCTCACTCACTTGCCTATCTCACACTCACTTGCCTATCTCACACTCACTTGCCTACCTCACACTCACTTGCCTACCTCACACTCACTTGCCTATCGCACACTCACTTGCCTATCTCACACTCACTTGTCTATCTCACACTCACTTGTCCATCTCGGACCCCATGGTCATGGCCATGTTCTTCAGCGCGTCCAGCCCATCGCTCACATCGTCCAGCACCTCGTCCTGGAACTTGCGCTCCATCTGGGCACGCACCAGGGAGGAGAGAAAGAGGAGGGGAGGAGAGGGGAGGGGGGAAGGGGATTCAACAGAAGGCCATCGCTCACATCGTCCAGCAACTCGTCCTGGAACTTGCGCTCCATCTAAGGAGTCGGTGTGTGGGGAGGGGGGAGAGGGGAAAGGGACAGCAAGGGAGGGAAGGGGGGTCAACAGGGGCCCGTCACTCATATCGTCCAACACCTCGTCCTGGGACTAAATGCTCCATATGCACGCTGGCGGGCGGGAAAGGGGAGGGGGAACAGGGGAGGGGGAACAGGGGAGGGGGAACAGGGGAGGGTAGTGGGGGCCGCGAAGGACAGAGGGAGGAGGAGGAACAGAGAGGGGGGGTGAAGAGAGGTGAGCCACGCCATGCCATAGAATGCCACGCAAGGCCACAACATACCATGCCATGCCATGCCATGCAACACCATCCATGCCTTGCCATGCAACATCATGCAATGTCATGCCATGCCACGCCATACCATGCCACGCCTCTCAGGGCCCAAAGATTACACTCTAGTGCGTGATTACTGTGCAACACCCCCCTGTGATCGCAGAGGCGCCCAGTAAGTCAACCACAACCCTCTCCCTTCAGTCTTCCCAATTCGCTGCAGGTGGTTTTTTTAGAATCCCTTCAGTCTTCCCAACTCCCTCCCTCCCTCCCTCCCTCCCTCCCTCCCTCCCTCCCTCCCTCCCTCCCTCCCCCTCCCTCCCTCCCTCCCTCCCTCCCTCCCTCCCTCCCTCCCTCCCTCCCTCCCTCCCTCCCTCCCTCCCTCCCTCCCTCCCTCCCTCCCTCCCTCCCTCCCTCCCTCCCTCCCTCCCTCCCTCCCTCCCTCCCTCCCTCCCTCCCTCCCTCCCTCCCTCCCTCCTCCCTCCCTCCCTCCCTCCCTCCCTCCCTCCCTCCCTCCTCCCTCCCTCCCTCCCTCCCTCCCTCCCTCCCTCCCTCCCTCCCTCCCTCCCTCCCTCCCTCCCTCCCTCCCTCCCTCCCTCCCTCCCTCCCTCCCTCCCTCCCTCCCTCCCTCCCTCCCTCCCTCCCTCCCTCCCTCCCTCCCTCCCTCCCTCCCTCCCTCCCTCCCTCCCTCCCTCCCTCCCTCCCTCCCTCCCTCCCTCCCTCCCTCCCTCCCTCCCTCCCTCCCTCCCTCCCTCCCTCCCTCCTCTCTCTCTCTCCCTCCCTCTCTCTCTCTCTCACACACACACACCTCGCTTTTTGAGACGTCTCAAAGGTATTCTCCATTCGTTGCAGGTGGATTCTGAGAACCCCATACAATCGCTCAGTCAAGTCAATCAGGACCCTCTCTCACCCACCACTCAATCATATCCATGGATGCCATCCCCTCCGTGGCTTTACAATCGTCAGGCCCTCATTGAGCCCCCCTGCTTAGTCACACTCGCGTACAATCACCCACCAAACCATCTCACCTCGATCTTCTCCATTGCTATCATGCCCTCCTTGCCTTTAGGAGGCGTCGTGCCCTCCTTGAGCCGCCCCTCCGTAGTCACACTAGCGTACAGTCACCTTAGCGGGTAGCAGTCTCACCTCGATCTTCTCCATTGCTGTCATGCCCTCCTTGGCTTTAGGAGGTGCCGCGCCCGCTTTCGGCGCCGACAATCCCAAGCCCTCGCGGCTCGCCGCGTCTCCCGATGCCGAGTCCTTCTTGTTGGCTGCACGCGGGGGAAAGGGGAAGGGAGGGGGGAGGAGGGGAGGTAGATTTGGGCGGTTAAGGGGAAAACGGAAAAGTGAAGATTACATACATATACTAGTCTCCGTGCATGAGATATTAGGTCTTTAATCGCCGTACCTGAAGACTTAGGCCCTGTGATCTTGTGACCCTTCTTCGGCGCCCATCCGAACGAGAACATTCCGCCGAGCTTGCTCAGAAGCTTCTCGGACTGGCAAGAGGGAGAGGGAAGAGTGGAACGAAAAATGGTCACAAGATCACAAAAGAGAGGGAAGGGAGGGATGCCGGGAGGAGAGGGAGGAGGGTGGAAAGGGGAGCTTGTCCAGAAGCTTCCAAGACTGACAAAGGGGAAACGAACTTTTGCAGAAAATTACTGGTTTGGAACGAAAATAATTGGAGGAGCTAGATGAAGAAAACATGACAAGCTTAGAAGCTTCTCGGACACGTCACGGAGACGGAAATAAGCATGGCAGAGAGGGTGAGGTTACATAATCGACGGATTTTGAGGCGCCTCAGAAGCAGGGGAGAGCGGGGAGGCTAAACAGCCGACGGAAAGAAGGAGACGCGGCAAGCGTCAACGAGACGCGGTGAGGAGCAACGCAGTGCGGGAACGCCAGGACGCGCACAGGGGGTTGTCTCTTGCGTTGACTAGGAAGTTACCGCGTTTAGCAATTTGTTACTATGTTATTTCTCCAGAATATACCCACGACAAGAACGTAGCAGCAAGCACATCGCAGAGAGCACGCCGAAGCGAGCACGTCGTGGAGAGCGCGTCGCAACAAACACGCCGGGATACGAGCGCACCGCAATGAGCACGCCCTACGTCGCAACGAGCATCGTACCTTCTCCATGTATTGGTCCAGCGTCACCGCGTTCTCGTGTATACGCGCGAATTAGAAGTTGACTCAGGCAAGTCACCGCGTGCCCTGCTTCCATCGTACCTTCTCCATTTCTTGGTCCAGCGTGACGGCGTTCTCGTGTATACGCGCGATCTGGTCGCCTTGCTCCTTAAGCGTCACCAGCGTCTGTCCCGCGACGCCCTTCGTCTGCTCTGTGATTCGTCGGAGATTAAGAGTCGCGTCCGTTAACTCGCTATTCTTCTGCAGCGCCTCGTCCTCGAGGTCCTTAAGCGTCTGCTCGCCGCCGCCGCCGCCGGATGCGGCGCGCTGGGAGGGGGGAACCCACTTAGCGTTGGAACCCCAATCGTCGTCATCGTCTTCGATGACTGGCTTCCCCGTGTTGCGACGCGCCATAGCTTCAACCCTTGGTTTCCGCCTCTTACTGCAAAGCGTAGTGTAACTACGCGTGTCTTAAACTTCGAACGCTGACGCAAACTCGTACGGCGCTCGCGGGTGTTTATTTTTTGTGACAAAGTGAACGAGAGCGGAGCGTTCGAGACCAAAGGTGGGCAACGAGGAATAGAACTTGACACTAGACGAGACACTTGAAGCTTGAAGAAGCCGAAAAATGGGCTGGAGTTTGTGCCGTGCTGGGCACTTCTACTGATGTTGACGGTCGAAGGTTGAAACTTGAGAAACAAGCTTCAAGGGCGTGGCGAGAATGATGCATCTTGGGGGTGTGGGGGGGGAATAAGGTTCGGGGGGGGGAAAGGGGGATTAGCAGACGGTTACAGTAGCGCCAAGGAAGGACGGCGCCCGGGGCGAAGAAGACCGTTGGGCGCAGTAAAGGCGAGAAAAGGACAGGCGGGGCAGCTCTCGAGGTGCGGTGCGGGGTGCGGTGCGGAATACTGTACAGGTATGGCCCTGATGGAGGAGAGGGGGAAGGCGGAGAAGAGGGGAGGGCAGATAGGTTTGGGTTGGGGCAGGAGGGCAGGGCATATACGGGCTCATCCGAACAGAAACCAAGGAGAAGGCACGGAAATACAGTGCAGTCCCCCGTTCAGCCAAAGGGGGCTCCGCGCACGGAGGTGGCAGCTGTCTGGGGGGAGAATGGGGCGGAAGGGGGATCGTTTGGAGGTTTGGTTCGGGAAGGTCGAGCGAGTCAAGTTTACCGATTATTGGTTCTCGTTTCCGATTGGATTGGGTTGTTGAGATTGGGGATCAACAGATCGTGTGAGTGACGGCAACGCGGGTTTGACTGTACACACGATGCCCGGTTGAGCCCCCCGACCTTGCCTTACCCTCTGGGCGTATAAACGATTCCTGCATTTCGCGGAGGTTTCGTCAATTCGTTTCGGGCAAAAAGGGCTTATAAAAAGATTTGTAACTCACCGTTGACTTTTTGACTGCATTCTCTTCAGTCAGACTTCAGTTTCTGTGGTTCGTATTGGTTGACGTGCTTGTAACGTGGGTGCAGCCTCACGGCACAAAACCCACGGGTGCAAGGTTTCCATCAGGTCCAAGGCAATTTTGCGTGCAGGGGGTGAGCATCATGTGTATCGGAGCAAGGGAAAAACGACAAAGATGCTACCCAAGAGGAAACTGTTCGTGGAGGACCAGCTGGAGCGAGAGATGCATGTCAAACATCACATCATCCAAATCATGCTGCTTCTGTTACACCGCTATAGAAAGTGACCCATCAAGCCATAGTTCTTTGACGGAGGAGAGGCATATTTTGTTATTTTTCTAAGCAGAAAGCAAGCATGACTTCACACATTATGTTGGCCAGAACCACGAGCAGGCCGCCACAATAGAAGCAAGTATACATAGCCACATCCTTACGTGCACTAATATACATGTCACAACGCTGCAAGAGAACATTACACTATCTCGACACTTTTTGCTGTGACATATGGCTTGTCTTTCTCGAAGTGCACACAACAAAACCCAACTTGGTCCAACACGAAGTCGAAGACATAAACCGCAGAGAACAACCCGATCAAAATGGAGAAGGCAATGTAGGACCACTGTCAAGGAGGACACGAGAAATGATGATGGGGCAGGGTGGAAGGAAACGTCACCAGGTATGGAAGGGTTATAAGTGGGGGGGCTTGGGCTGGGAGGTAAGGTACGGGAGAGGTAAAGCATGAGTTACCGTCGCCCTGGCTATGAATTTAAATGTGAGCAGGGGGGAATGAGTGGAAGGAAGAAGATGGTTGCAGGCTTGTACGAAAAGGGACACAACCACACCAAAATATGGAAACTCACATTGAGGTCGTATCCAAATTTGGAGGTGGCAAGCTTGAATCCCAGGTACGTGTTTGCCCACGCGATCACCACCGTTCCAACGCCAACCACCCAGTGCAGCGCAAACCAGGATGGACGGCTGGGATGCTTCTTGAGCGGCCTCAGCTGCCCCACGATTGGCTGCACAACAATCAGCACCATCACGGCCAATCCGAGCTGTCCATGTGTCGACTGCAATGATTGCGACCCCTTCTCAACAAAGGCCATGATGATTCCAGCGAGAGCAAGCAGCACAGCGGAGAGCATAAGCCACTTGTGCACCTCAAATGCCATGGGCTTGCTCACCCATGGCTTCCTGGCAACTGCTCCCCCTCTTGTTGCTGCTGCACCTCCTGCTGTGCCCGACCCTGCTGCTCCTCCTGCTGCTGCTGCTGGAGATGGTCCCCCGACGGAGAGAGCAACAAGAGCCGGTGCATCTTCTGCCACCAGGCTGCTGGGGAGACTGGCTTTTAGGGGACTCCCTCCCCCCTCTTTCGCTGCTGCCGCCCCACCATGCTTCTCGCCAAGCATCGGCTCCCCCAACCCACCTGCGGCTGCCGTGCCCGCTGCAGCTGTCCCGCTGTTGCTTGCACCAGGGTTACTTGCAGCAGCAGGGGCAGTGGAATGCCCAGGCATGGGCTTATCCGCAAGGAAGAGCCTCGATACAAGGATGGCAGCGGGCATGAGCATGCCAAAGGCGACAGTGAGCAGCCATGCATGCACGGTGTAGAGTGTGGCGCTCTCAGTGCTGGAGCCGCCCACTTCGGATGCTCCCGTTGCAAAGTTGACTGTCGCAGAGCCTCTGTCAACGGGGATGGGGGAGGGACAGAGGGCATGAGCATGCCAAAGGCGACAGTGAGCAGCCATACATGCATGGTGTAGAGCGAGGCACTGCCGCTGCTTGATTCTCCCAACTCTGATGCCCCTGTCTCAAAGTTTATCGTATCAGAGCCTCTGATAACGGGGACAAGAAGGGAGAGGGGCAGAGATGGGAGGGAGAGGAGGGAAAGGCGGCATGAGAAGCAAATCGTGTATGCTCATGAGAAGCCATGAGAAGTGAAAGGGAGGCAGAGGAATGCGGCATGGGAATGTGCCGCGACACGGTATTTTGAGGCGGCTGAAGGATCACCAGGGAGTGGCCGAATGGTGGCAGGCGGAGACTCACGCATTGGGCCCCCCACCCAGGGGTCGGCCAGCTGCTGCGAGTTATCCCGCGAGTAGGCTCACATGACAGTGGACAGTGGTAGGCACGAGAAACGATACGGAGTGGGCTGTGGGACTGGACCTAAGGTGCGAGAGCAGCAGTAAAACACACTCAAGAATCAACTCACGCATTGGGCCCGTGGTCTGCCAGCTGCTGCGAGTTATCCCGCGAGTACGCCCACAGAACGCGGCTCGAGGACACAGGGAACTCTCCATCAGTCATCGGCCGCTCAAACTTGACAACCGTCCGCCCGTTGCCCGCCTCCACAGCCGTGTTGGTAACCGCAAACGAGCTCGTAACCGTGACGTCGCTGGCTCCATAGCCGCTCATTGAATACGCCCCGACTGCTGCTGCTGCAGCATTCCCAGTGGAAAGAGTGCCAGCAGGAAGGTTGCCGATGGCGGCCTCAGCGGGGTACATGCGACCGGAGGCAGACCAGCCGACAGACACCCACCCACTTGTTGCTGCCTCTGCTGCCACTGCGATGGTGCTGGTGGCGCTGGTGGTGGCTTTCCAGTGCAGGATGAAGCTGCAGGGATGGGGAAGGGGAGGGGAGGATGGGGATTGAGTACATGTGACCGGAAGGGGACCAGCCGAGAGACACCCACCCGCTCGTTGCTGCCTCTGCTGCCACTGCTATGGTGTTGGTGGCGCTCGTTTTCCAGTGCAGAATGAAGCTGCAGGGATGGGGAGAGGGGAAGAGAGGAAAATAAGGAGGAGGGTTCCCAATGGCGGCTTCAGCGGGGTACATGCGACCAGAGGCGGACCAGCCGAGCGACACCCACCCGCTCGTTGCTGCCTCTGCTGCCAGTGCGATGGTGCTGGTGGCGCTGGTGGTGGCTTTCCAGTGCAGGATGAAGCTGCAGGGATGGGGGAAGGGGAGGGTGGGTGGGGATGAGTGACGAGAAAGGGTGTAATCGCTTGGTACTTCCAGCCAGTTGATGATGCTGCCGCTGCTCCATGCTCAATGCCCCATGTGCCCATGACCCATGCGGCCATGCCCCATATGCCCATGACCCATGCGGCCATGCTCCATATGCCCATGACCCATGCGGCCATGCCCCATATGCCCCATGCCCCATGCTCAAGCACCCATACCTCCTTCCTCACCCACCCCATGCCACATGCCCCCTTAGCACTCACTTGTCGCCACTGAGCTGCACCATGCAGTCATATCCGGTCAGGGAAGACGCCTTGCACGCACTGCTGCTTCAAAAGACAGCTCAACAATTGACCGCCAACTCACTCACTCACTCACTCACTCACTCACTCACCTGCCCCACACGGCCCTGTGCAGTGACCACTCACTTGTCGCCACTGAGCTGCACCATGCAGTCATATCCGGTCAGGGAAGACTCCTTGCACGCACTGCTGCTGCTGCTGCCGCTGCTGGATGCTGCTGCTGACGTGGCACCCAGTGATTGGCTGTCATCGCCCTGAGTTGACGCAGAGGTGCTGTTGCCGGCAGCAGCAGTGGCGCAAGTGAAATCCACCTGGACTGATCCACTGATGCACATGTGGCAATAACGGGGGTGACAACAAAGGGTTTGACAAATAACATAAAGAACAGATATCGAGGGGAGTGAGTTGGAAGCGTGAATGAGAACTGCTGGCTGTTGAGTTGGAACAAGCCGTTCGCAGAAATCAATCGTGTGGTAACCAGCGGATGAGGAAGCTCGTGGCAATGGTAACCAGCAGGTGTGTAACAGACAATATGGTAACCAGCAAGTTAACTCACTCGTTGCGGTTGTGGAAGTCCAGTGCTTGCGAGCCGGAACCCGAAAACGCCCACACGAGGGTATTTACCCCGGAAAAATCCACCGGGACTAGTCCCCCGTCCCCTTCCGTCCGGGTAAACTTCACAACAGTCGCTCCGTTACTAGCCGCCTCAGTACTCGCTTCAGTAATAAAAAATCTGCTGGTGACCGTAACATCGGACATCTGGTAACCAGTCATGGCATACGCAGCAACCTCACTTCCTGGAAGGTTCCCAATGACAGCGTCAGCAGGGGCCATCCGGCCGTCCATTGACCAGCCGATGGAGATCCAACCGCTCTCTGCCCCGCTGCCCTGCTGTGCTTCCAAGGCCATTCGCACCTGTGCCCTGCTGCTGTTGCTGCCAGTGCTGCTGCTGCTGCTGCTGCTGGGTGTGGTGCTGGTTGTGGTGCCACTAACGAGCGTCCAATGGAGGAGAAGCCCGTTCGATATAGTCACGGAGTGCTCGTATCCTGCAAGGGACGAGGCCTGGCAAGCCGATGCTGCACCAGACCCACCTCCCCATCCTGCCACATCCCCCCCTCCTGCCCCATCTCCCCCTTCCCCTCCTTCCCCTCCTTCCCCTTCTTCGTCGCCCTCCCCTCCGTCTCCCCTCCCCTCCTCACGCTCCCCCTCTCCGTTTCCCCACTGCGCCCACTCCTCCCTGTCTCCCCAATCTCCCCCCTCCTGCTCACCGTCGTTCCCATGCTCAATCCCATGGTCATGGTCTCCGTCGTGGTGAGGAGGAGGACTCACGAACCCGTTAGAATCAGGCGGGAAGGGAAACGACTCGTTATAAGCAGGCGGGGTAGAGGGAGGAGCAGGGGTCGTGCTGTTGGTGGTGCTCCCACTGCCACTGCTGCCCGTTCCGCTGCCCGTGGTGGAGTTGGTACTGCCACTGCTGCCGCCCGAGCCACCGCCTGTTGTCGCGTTGCTCCCATTGCTGCCCCCAGCACCGCTCCCCGCTGTGGAGTTGGCAGCAGCAGTAGCACCAACGCAGGAGAAATCCACCGATGTGGCTCCGCTGTTGAAGTGGAAGAGAGAGAGAGGGAGTGAAGTGGGCGATAGGAGCGAGAGGAAAGAGATGACGGGCATGAATGAAGACACGACCAGCGATCGCTTCAAACCGGAACGCCTCGGTAGGGGGGTGCAGCTAAAGGCTTCGCTCCCGCTGACAGAAAAAAGAGAGAGGCAAAATTCCAATTATAACGAAACAAATGGCGTGGGATGCACTCACTCGTTGCGGCAGTGGAAGCCGAGAGTGGTGGAGCCGGCCCGGCTAAAATGTAGGCCCAGATGACCGTGTTCATCCTGACTGGGAGACGAACGCTGTCTACTGATTTCATATAGCGAACGAAATTCTATGAGCATAAAGAATGAGGAAGGATCCGAGAAACGCACTCGTTGCGGCCGTGGAAGCCGAGCGCGGTGGAGCCGGACTGCGAGTAGGCCCAGATGACCGTGTTCACCCCCGCCACGTCCACGGGTATGGCGCCGCCGTCGCCGCTCGCGCGGGAGAACCTGCCGTGGTGGCGACAACCGTTGTCGAACGCGAAATCATCGCGTCAGTTGCAGCAAAAATGCGTCGCGAATGGAGAAGAGCAGAAATGCGCGGAATGACAGATTGTGAATCGGAAATCTGGATTGAAGATATGCCGTGACTCATTCGCGAAAAAGGTGGTCGTTGCCTAGTATTGCGTAGAATAACTCGTGACCTAACTTCGAGACGCCTGGAAGAAAGACAGAGTTGCTAGCTGTGACAAATTTTAGCGAACCAGGACAGTCACTGTACAGCATACAGTACAATGCAATCAAACGAACAATGACTAGAGTGTAACAAAAACGTCACCACTTAATTTTTGCGCATAAACAAGCACATAATTTCAAAGGCAGACGAACTATACCATCACAGCGCGAATTACTCACTTCATGACAGTCCCGCCGTTAGACGTCAGCATCTCGGCAGAACCGAGGGCGAAGCTGCTGGTCGGCGCCACGTCAGAATCGCCGTACCCGCTCATGTAATACGCGCCCATGCTTCCGCCGGGCAGGTTTCCAATCACGCAGTCCGCGGGGTACATGCGCCCGTCCGCGGACCATCCGGCGGAGATCCACCCGCTCTCCGCGCCGCTTCCCGCCTTCGCTTCGAGCGCCATCTGCAGCGCCGTCTGCGCGCTGCCGTCCAGCGCAGCCCAGTGAAGCACGAGACTGCGAGCCGCGATCCAGGAGTTACGGAACAGCACATGATGGAAAAGATTGTTTTATCGATGGCTTGTTTCAATGCCGATCATGGAGATGTATTCTATACGGTAATGATGGCTGGACAAAAAAAGCGAGAATCAAGCGAAAACGGTTTTTCTGCCCGGAAAATTGGGGATGCATGGCTAACGTACATTGGCGAAGAGTTTCTGGTTTTGCGGAGGATTTTGCCACCTACCCGTTACCCGAGAGGTCGACGGAGCTGGTGAATCCCGTGAGCGAGGAGCTCTGGCACGCCGCCGCCCATGCCGCGCCACTATATGACAGCACAACTAGCACGGCGACGAGCAAGTGTACACGGCTGAGATCTAGGAGTCGCCGCATCGTTGTAGCAGAGACAAAAGAACGGCTTTAGGGGGGGGGGGATAATCGCAAAAACCAATTCTGGGTGGTGATGGTGAACAATTCAGGGAGGTGGATTTGGCGAACGAAATGGTTGGAATTGTGGGATGAAATGTATTGGATTGGTTTGTCTATTTTATACGTGCGCGGCTCGGTGAATGGAGGAATTGACTGGGCTTCGATGAGAATTTCTTTCGGTTTTCTTTGTTCCAGGCTGGCGTGGCTCGCGCGTGCCCGTACGATCGATGCTGCGGTGGATATCGGTCTCGCCGAGCGAAATGGCTTGGGGTTTTCGGGATAACGTGGACAAACGGACGATGATCTTGGACTAGTCACCGACCGCTGAGCTCTCTCTACCGTGTGGTAACCCTCTCCAATGAAGCAAATCGCTGACTGTCATTGGCTTGGGAAGGGCTGTCCTATCTGGGAAATGCTGTGGCAGAGACCAGTCAAACCGGAGGGCGCTGACCATTCTGCGGTGAAGATGTGAGCAGCTAATGTATGTGTGGAGGTATTGGTGTATGCTACATGTGTTTGAGGCATGTTAATAACAAATGGCGGGTTCCCATTAGCGAAAAACGAGATTGTTATTCTCTACTAAGTATTGAATGTATAGCTTGTTCAAAGTGTACCGTGTTCCATAATCCATTATGCGAGTTTCTCCACCAGCACTCCCAGCCAACGAACGAGGCTCCGCCACGTTCCCCATTACGGATCATCACTGGGGTCCGCACAGTAAACCCCGCGAAGCTCGTGCTGAACCTACGCGGGCCGACTTCGTCACACACAAAACGCCTCTCTATTGGTTTAGACTGATTCGCACCTGACGATTTCAGCTTCGGAACAGAACCGCAAACTGAACACGTCTCCCCCGAATGTGGTCGAGCCGCATGCGCTTCAGCCCTGCAAGCGAATGGGAGCGAACCACGAGATTGACGAACTAGAGGATGAGATCAGGGGGCGTCGGTGTTTTTTGCCGACATCGGTATTGTCACATCTAAGATCGCCGAACCGCGGCTTCCCTTCCCAGCCATGTTCGTTGCCATACCAGCCTCTAGTTTATTGGTCTAGTTAGATACGATAGTTTGTCTGCACAGCAGTAGATCACAGTCGACCATGAAAATTGCTTGCTGAGTTATCAGAAGCTGCACGTTTAATTTCGAGTTGCTTGCAAACAAAGCGTAAGATAAGAATCTCTCGTGCGCCCAGTAGCTGACTGCGCGAAAGTCGATCAGCTTGGTGTGATTATACTAGGAGTTTTGTCACCCTTCCTTCAGACGCGTGTCGATCACTTTCCCGGGCACTATCGTCTCGTCATGGCGTCGCCTCGGTCTTGTCGAGCCTGCGCGGGACCTTACTCCTTATTACCAGCCCTGGTGCTGCTCGTGACGTATAACTTCGCGTCGCCGCACCAGCCACGAGCAACGGCTTTTTCCCTCAGAGTAGTGTCTCCGTTCCGCTCTCGCACGCACGAGGAGGATGAGCGATCCGCGCCGCCGGCGATCGCGCGAAGAAAGCTCGCATCGTCGCTGCCATGCACGAACTCGTCGCTCTTCGGCTACGCTTACGCCGTGCAACTCGGCGACGGGTACGCGCGCCGGGTCGTCGTGTCGCTCCCTTACACCGCTATACCGCGTCGTCGTTGTGTCCCTCGCTCGCTTATACCGCTTACACCACTTACACCGCGTCGTAACGTCGCTCCACCGCTTTCCGCCTTTCTGCATTTCATCACGTGTCAGCTCCTCCCTCTCACCCCTCCTTCCCCCTTCTTCCCCCTCCCCCCCCCCCCCCCCCCCCCCCCCCCCCCCCCCTCCTCCCCTACTCCTCCCCCCCCTTCCCCCTTCGTTTTCCCCCGTTCCTCGTCGGTCCCCACCCTCTCATACACTCCCCACCCGCCAGTCTCATTTTGCACGGGAAGCCGCAGGTCGGCCGGGTGACAGACATGGCGCTGCAGGCCGTGGCGCTCTCGGGCGCACAGGGATGGATCTCCGTCGGGTGGTCGGGCGATGCCTGACACTCACGTACCAGCGCACCCCACCCCAACTTCCCTTTCCCCCCTTCCTCCCCCCCCCCCCCCGCCCCCCCACCTCCCCCCCTTTTCCCCCTTCCCCTCCTCCGCCAGCTTCATCTGGAAGACGCAGGTCGGCCTGGCGACAGAGATAGCGCCACAAGCCGTGGCGCTCTCGGGCGCACAGGAGGGGTGGATCGCCGTGGGGTGGTCGGGCGACGACGGGCGCATGGGTCTCACCTCCCAGCGCATCCCACCCCCTTTTTCCCCCTTTTTTCCCCCTTTTTACCCCTTTTTCCCCCCTTTTCCCCCTTTTTCCCCCATCTGCCAGTCTCATTTTGCACTGGAAGCCGCAGGTCGGCATGGTGACGGACATGGCGCTACAGGCGGTCGCGCTGTCAGGCGCGCAGAAGGGGTGGATCTCCGTGGGGTGGTCGGGCGACGGCCGCATGTCGCGCAGCGACGCCGTCGTGGGGAACGTCGATAATTACCCCAGCAACGTGGTCGCGCTGTATCTGGCGGGGCGAAGCTTCGCGGATGTGAAGCCGGCGGGGTATGACCTGGGCAGGACGGTCCTGGAGCAGGGAACTACTGGCTCGTTTGTCATCAAGTGAGTCTCAAGTGGTGGCCACATTTAGCCGTTACTGTGGAAGGGAATGGAGTGGCCGTTAGTTTGTCATCAACTGGGCAGGACGGTTCTGGAGCAGGGCCCTGCCGGCTCGTTCGTCATCAAGTGAGTTGCTCTGAGCGTTCGAATCCCTTTGCATGATCGAGTGTCTTTTGAGTCGACTCAAAAGAGTTCCTCTGAGCGTTGGAATCCCTTTGCATGATGGAATGTCAAGTAGTGACTGGACGAGTAGGGCAACGGGAGGGAGAGGAGAGACGGGGGGATTGGGGGAGGGGGAATGGGGAATGAGGGGAATGCGGAGGTGGGGAACATGGCGGGGGTACCCCAGCAACATCGTTCCGCTGCACCTGCCAGGACAATACTTGGTGGATGTGAAGCACGCTGGTGGACCATGGCAAGACAAGACCTCCCATCCCCTCACTACTGAGATGCTCCTGTCCTGGCTTGTCGACAATGGCACGGCTCGCTTGGACCCCCGCAGGCGCCAAAACGCTCAACTAACACCCTCGCCCAGGTTTGCTGCGTTTTGAGACGTCTCAAGACGCTTTGGCCCCCGCGGGCGCCAAAACGCTCAACTAACACCCTCGCCCAAGTTTGCTGCGTTACCCTGCCTCTCCGCCCCCACCCACCCGCACTTCCCTTGCTCTACCCTCACGACTGCAGGTTTTCCCGGCGGGTAGATGATGGCGCGGTGTGTTTTGATCCCACAGGCTTCAATCAGCCCTCAGCACTCACGTCCCTTTCCCCCGCTTTTCCCCTCCTCCTTTTTCCAGGTTCTCCCGGCGGGTTGATGATGGCACAGTGAGATTCGACCCCACCGGCGCCAACACGCTCATCTGGGCCTACTCTGCCGATCCTGGCTCGTCACAGCTCGGCTTTCACGGGGGAAACAAGTATGTGCTGTGCTGTCCTGTCATGTGCTGTCATGTGCTGTGCCGTGATGTGATGTGCCGTGCTGCCCTGATCGTGTGGTGCCAACACGCTCATCTGGGCCTACTCTGCCGATCCTGGCTCGTCACAGCTCGGCTTTCACGGGGGAAACAAGTATGTGCTGTGCTGTCCTGTCATGTGCTGTCATGTGCTGTGCCGTGATGTGATGTGCCATGCTGCCCTGATCGTGTGGCGCCAACACGCTCATCTGGGCCTATTCTGCCTATCCTGGCTCGACAGAGCTTGGCTTCCACGGGGGAAGCAAGTATGTGCTGTGCTGTCCTGTGCAGTGATGTGCAGTGATGTGCTGTGATGTGCTGTGATGTGCGGTGATGTGCGGTGATGTATGGTCCTGTGCTGTGGTGTGATGTGCCATGCTGTGCTGTGGTGACTGTGTGGTGCCAACACGCTCATCTGGGCCTATTCTGCCCCTCCTGGGTGTTCAGAACTCGGCTTCCACAGGGAAAACAAGTATGTGCTGTGCTGTGCGATATTGTGTGGTGATCTGCGGTGCTGGTGGTGTAAGGTGCTGTGCTGTAGACAATGCAGGTGGACTCCTTCCATTTGACTCAACTTCCATGTATCATGTCCCACATTCCACATTTCTCTCGCTCCACGTGCAGGGGATCAGCACTGGTGGACTTCTCATGCACCGGCAAGGCAGCAAGCCCTCTAATTCAAAGAGGCACTCGGCTAGCAGCAGTGCTGGCAGTAGTTCTGGCTGTGCTCTGCCTTGCCTTGTAGACTGTTTCTGGCTGTTGTGGTGACCTATTGGCGAGTCAGAAAATCATGCGAAGCCCCTCTGTATTGTGTAGACTGTAGAATTATGGGGACAGGTGATCTGCCTTTGTATGGGGAGATCGAAGACGGATGGCTGGTCAAAAGCTTGGAGAGAAAATGCACATGCACAATGCTTCGCGCGACAAGCACTTGCACATTTCCTCATCAAAATAGAAAAGCCCACGGCATACCACTAGAACTAGTGCAACTCCCTGTGACCACCCACATTGAAAATATCACATGATTAGGTAATATCAGACCGTCCCACAACTTGCTATGCTGAAAATGCCCCCTTAGGATCTTTTGTAGGACTAAATTCAGAGTAGGATGATGTAATAGCGGAAGCGTTTGATAAGGACTTTGTGAACCACCTTGCGCTAGTATGTGAGGGCAAAGTAGATTGATTAAAACAAACAAGTACGGTACAAAGATTTATATAAGAGTACAAGGAATACGAAGAGATACGGTTAATAACTGTTTTACTTGTCAAAATATAGGAGTACGGCCTAGGCTTAGTAGCCTAGGCCACAGTAGGACTAGAACGAGGAGGCGCCAAGTACAAGCTAGGAACTTGTGCACGAACAGAATTGAGAAGAGATGGATTGTACTAGCAAGCAGTAGGATACAAATAGGAAACCCTAAGGGGCTATACTCACTATTGAGTACCCCACTGCAGACTACACAAACAACATATTCTGACACACCCCCATAGCCAAAGTGGGGTGTAATCAGCACAATGAACAAGCAGAGCAGTAGTTCACAATTATGAGCAAAACTAGTGGTAGTTACAGTGGGCAAGTGAGGAGGAGGGACTGTGAGAGGAGAGAAGATGGGAGACGACGGCTGAAGCAACAGACACACGGGCAACAGGAGCGGCTGGCACAGTGGCTACCGGGACAGCGCCCCGGACTACTGGAGTAACTGGCTCACGGGCTACGAGGAGCTACAGGAGCAACGGACCCACGGGCGACAGGCGCAACAGGCTCTCTGGGCTACCAGGACAGTGCGCCCCGGACTACAGGTGCTGCGGACGACAAGACGGCTGCCTCCACTCAACCTCCCCCAACTTTCCCACACCCCCCGTACACACACCCCCAGTTTCACCCCTAGCTCCACTCCCGCATCACCCCCCTAGCTCCACTCCCCACAGCTCCCACACCTCCACCCCCCTCAGCGGCAGCTGCAGCAGTGGGAGACGAAAAAGGAGGAGGGGAGAACCCACACCTCTCACCCCCATGCTTGCCACCCCACACCCCCACCACCGCGGAACGCACGGCGGAATGGGAGCAATGGGCAGCACGGGGGGGGGGGGGGGGGGGGGGGACGGGACGGGCTTCCGCAGGGGCGGCTCGCGCGGGTCCTGGGGCGGCTGCTGCAGGCACGGGCTGCTCCAGGGGCGGCTGCTGCAGGCACGGGCTGCTCCAGGGGCGGCTGCTGCAGGTGCGGGCTGCTCCAGGGGCGGCTGCTGCAGATGCGGGCTGCTCCAGGGGCGGCTGCTGCAGTGGCGGGCGGCTCCATGGGCGGCCGCTGCAGGTGAAAGGTAGGAGGAGGGGGGGGGGGGGGGGGGGGGGGGGGGGGGGGGGAACGCACGGCCCCCAGGGCGCCCCGAGGGGCGACGAGAAGGGAGCCGCGCGGCTTCCCCCTGGGGCGCCGCGACGGGCACCAGGGAGGGCGCCGCGACGGGCCCCCAGAGCCGCCTCGACGGGCGACGGGGAGGGCGCCGCGCGGGCCCCCTGAAGTCGCCTCGACGGGCGACGGGGAGGGCGCCGCGCACGGCCCCCGAAGTCGCCTCGACGGGCGACGGGAGGGGACCGCGCGCGGCCCCCGTGGTCGCCACGACGGGCGACTGGTGGGGAGGCCGCGCGGGCCCCCAAGGTCGCCTCGACGGGCGACGGGAGGGGAGGCCGCGCGGGTCCCCGAGGTCGCCTCGACGGGCAACGGGAGGGGAGGCCGCGCGGGTCCCCGAGAGCGCCTCGACGGGCGCTTCGACGGGAGGGGACCGCGGAGGCCCCCCCAAGGGCACCACGACGGGTGCCACAGAAGGGAAAACCGCCAGGCGCCCCGAGCGCGCGGCGGGCATAAATTAGGGTTTCGCCGCCGCGCACCACGGGGCGCGCGGCGGACAGGACGGCAGCGGAAGCGGGTGGTGGGCCCATACACAGGAAGGCGGCAGACATGCCGCCCTCTGATACTATGTCAAAATATAGGAGGAGTACGGCCTAGGCTTAGTAGCCTAGGCCACAGTAGGACTAGAACGAGGAGGCGCCAAGTACAAGCTAGGAACTTGTGCACGAACATAATTGAGAAGAGATGGATTGTACTAGCAAGCAGTAGGATACAAATAGGAAACCCTAAGGGGCTATACTCACTATTGAGTACCCCACTGCAGGCTACACAAACAACATATTCTGACATTACTGTTTGCTGTTGCGGTTCGGTACAGTGACGACTCGGGCAACTGCTCAGTAGTGAGTCAGTTGTGTGTCCTTGCTATCGCGCTGTACTTGTCAGGTCAAGGGTCGCTGACCTTTGACTTTCGCGTGACCTCCAACAGTTGTTTCAACCTCCGAGGGTTGACTCGCCGTTGCTTCGATATGTTCTGCTTCGCTTCTGACTTGGTGTTTCGACACGATAGAGGCGCGTTTAGATTACTTGTTCCCAACATTGAGCCCCCTACCCTCGCTTGCCACTGCATTCGGTCAGACCAGACCCCCAGGCACACTACACTTGCAAGCTCATTCCAGATTTTCCGTGCGCCTTTATTCAAAATAATCCCCCACCCACATGTCCTCGCGCCCTCCCACCCTTGCGCCCTTCCACCCGCCTCAATCTAGCACTCTAGTCTAGAGCCTCGAGAACAACCGCCGCAGTGTGGAGCCAAAAGCATCCTTTATTCAGACTGCTTGTGAGCCCTCAAGCCGCACGCAAGCCTTCAAGCCTTCACGACCTCACCCCATCATGCCCTCATGCCTCAACCCGCCACTCCAGATCCTCATGAGCAGCCAAGGTGTTACCAAGGTGGGAAAAGCCAATTTTATCAAACAAATTTGCGAACAACTTGCGAGCAACTTGCGAACAACTTGTGAACAACTTCCGAATAACTTGCGAGCCCTCAACCTCAAGCCTTCAAGCCGGCATGCCTCCACGACGCCCTTCCCACCCTCATGCCTTGACACGCCACTCCAGGTCCTCATGAGCCCCTCAAATGCCTTCTTCACCCCGCAACCTCATGCCCCCACATCTTCATGCCTCCACCCGCCACTCCAGGTCCTCATGAGCAGTCGCGGCTGAAAACCCGCCCAGCGCCCGCGCTGACTCAGCGCCAGCACGCGCGCTGTCAGCATCGTCATCCTCCTGCAGTGACAGCCTGGCGAGCGAATCCAGCAGCTCCTGGGTCGCACCAGTGCTGCTGACGGTCCCTCTCGTGCCGCCGCCGCTGCCGCCGCCGCTATTGCGGCCGGCAGTGCTGCTGCTGGTGATGCTGGTGGTACTGCCACTGCCAGAAGATATAGTGGGGCCACCGAAGATGGTGCTGGTGGTAGTAGAGGAGGAGCTTGTAACGGATCCCCCAGGTTGCGACCCAGACGGGAGGTCAGGGGGAGGGATGGAGGCGGGGAGAGGGCAGCCCGTGTAGGCCTTGTTTCTGAGGCAGTACTGCAGCAGCGCACCCCAGCAGCGATCCTGGAAGACAGAAGCGAAGAGGTGGGGCGGGTGGGAGAGAGAGGAAGGATTTGCCTGAAAGAACCGAATTCATGTGAAGCAGCAAATTCGCCGGAAGTAAGATATTCATCTGAAGAAGCATATTCACCTATAGCAGCAGATTGACCTGAAAGAGAACAGCAGATTGACCTGAAACAGCAGATTCACCTGAAGAAGAATACTCACCTGAAGCAGCATATTGACCAGAAGCATTAGAGCCCACCTGAGCCAGGAGGTTGGGGTTGCCCACAATGATAAGCAGCTGCTGACATCCTATCCACTTAAAAGAGAGAAAGCTGATTTATGAAGACAGCACCCTCGTGATGAGACATCTCAAAGACGTATAGTTTTGAGGCGCCTCAAAATGAGACATCTCAAAGACGTATAGTTTTGAGGCGCCTCAAAATGAGACATCCCAAAGACGTTTCACCTGGAGCAGCAGAACCTCGCCCACCTGAGCCAGGAGGTTGGGGTTGCCCACAATAATAAGCAGCTGCTTGGCCCTCGTTACAGCCACATTGAACCGCTTTGGATTCGCCAGGAACCCCAGATTGTGCTTATAATCGAACTCCACATACTGCTGGCTCGATCTCACGGTCGATACAATCACAACCCGCCTCTCCTGCCCCTGAAACTCCTCCACACTCCCCACCTTCACAGCGTCCATCCCCTTCCCTCGCAGCAGGTGCTGCAGCTTCTGCATCTGCTTGCGATACGGGGTAACCACCCCAATGTCAGTCAAGGGAACCCGCTGGCTCCTGTAGCCCATTAAAGAGGTAATGTATTTCAGAACTACTGTCGCTTCAAACGGGTTGAAAAACGACGGGCTGTTGCCCTCCCGCTCATCCTTCCCCATCACCCCGTGGAAAATTATCGGGAATTCGTTTTTGTTGGGCAGCTCGTCCCACCGGCAGAGAGAAGATCGGACCATCTCGTCCGCACACGCCTCCAGCTCCCCCTCGTAAAACATTTCGTTGGGCAGCTCCAAAATTTTCGGGTGAGACCGGTAGTTCTTGACTAGTTTCGTGATGGCACTCGTGTTGTAACCGATGTAACTCCCATCTTCCTGATCTTCCGCGGAGTACGAGGCTCGCCAGCCGCTCGAGGTACGAGCAGGGGAGCTTGTACTTCCGGGCGGCGAGGGAGCGCACAACCGGGCCCAGCTGCTTGTGGTCTCCGGCCAATAGGATGACGGCATGTGGCGCGGCATGGCATGCGATGGGGATGATGCCTTCCGGCTCGATGGCATGGCCTGCCTCGTCTATGAAGATGTGCGTGAAGGTGCCGCGGGGAACGCCTGTGTGGGGATGCAAAGTAAGGAAGGAGGAAGAGAAAGTGATGGTGATATTGCCACGTCATGTATGCGTGGACAAGTCACAAGTACATGTGGATCCTAACTAGACTGACCAAGAGCCTACCCATACAGGTTGAGCAGAAGGAGCATACCCATGCGGTAGAGCAGAGCAGCGGAGCAGCAGGTGACGGCAACGACCCGAGCGGTGTGGATCTCTGAGAGGGACGGCAGGCGGAAGGTTCCCGTGGAGTCGTCGTAGCGAGTGAATGGCAGCAGGTCCGTGTCCACCTCGTCCCGACCGCGGCTCACAGAGTACAGGCGCAGAATCTCACGGACCTAGAGGGAAAGGGTGAGGTGGGGGGATGAAACAGGGAAGTGGTGGGTTGGGGAGTGGTCGTAGCGAGTGAAGGGCAGCAGGTCGGTTTCCACCCCGTCCCGGCCACGGCTCACAGAGTACTTTTGCAGCAACTCGCGCACCCGGAGTGGGGGAGGAGACAAGATACAAAAAAAAAGGTTGGGTTGCAAAGTGGTTGTCGCGAGTGAATGGCAGGAGGTCGGTTTCCACCCCGTCCCAACTGCGACCCATGGAATACAGGCGCAGCATCTCTCACACCTGGAGAGGATGGGAGGGGCAGGAAGGTCAGCAGATGGATATGGCAGCAACAGCATGTGGGTATGACTGCATCAGAAGATGGGTAATGCACCACCAGCATGTGGGTAACTCAGCAACAGCAGGCGGCTATGGCAGCACAGCCCTAGCAAGTGGGTATGGCAGTACCAGTGTCTGCTATACCCACGTTCTTGTGCTGTGCTGTCATACCCACCTGCTGATGCTGTCATACCCACCTGCTGATGCTGTCATACCCACCTGCTGATGCTGTCATACCCACCTGCTGATGCTGTCATACCCACCTGCTGATGCTGTCATACCCACCTGCTGATGCTGCCATATCCACCTGCTGATGCTGCCATATCCACCTGCTGATGCTGCCATATCCACCTGTTGATGCTGCCATATCCACCTGCTGATGCTGCCATATCCACCTGCTGATGCTGCCATATCCACCTGCTGATGCTGCCATATCCACCTGCTGATGCTGCCATATCCACCTGCTGATGCTGCCATACCCACCTGCTGATGCTGCCATATCCACCTGCTTGCGCTGTTGGAAGGAGCACACACGAGCGCCGCTCTAAACGCCCAACCAATACGTCCATATGCCTCACAGCACTTAGCGGGACCTCACAACAACTCTTAGCACCGCACACACAAGGATCATTAGACCTGCAGTGAGCCTTTAAGGCGGGGAGCAATGTTGTCAATGGTGCTGTTGGACGGCACACACACGAGCACCCGTGCTGAGGGCTAGACCAGTACTTCCCCATACATCACTAAACCCCACAGCACCTCACAGCACCTCACAGCACCTGCCAGCACCCTTCAGCACGTATGAAGGCACACGAACCTGCAGGTTGCCTTTGAGGCGGAGTGCGATGTTGTCAGTGGCGCTGTTGGACGGCGCACATACCGGGTACTTTGGCATCATCTTGTCTCAGAACAACCCACACCCTCACAGCACCTCACCTGCAGGTTGCCTCTGAGGCGGAGAGCGATGTTGTCAGTGGCGCTGTTGGATGGCGCACACACGAGCACACGCACCAAGGGCATCCCTTTCACCACCTGTTGAAGGGACGTACGGGTTTCATTGGGTGCTCAAAAATACCGAACTAACAAGACGCAAGCACACCACGAGCACACGAGAAGAGGGCGTTCCCTTCACCACCTGTTGGACATTATCGGCTCATCCAATGAGGGACTTACGGGGTTCATTGGGTGTTGAACATTATCAAACTACCACGACACAAGCACACACAAGCACACACGAGCACACACGTGGTTAGGAGGAATGTGCCTGGCCAGCCAGTCAGCCCAAAATAGTATTGATTGAAAGAGGGCACGATGAATAAGGGAGTCTGTAAAGACCGACAAAACCTCCCTGAGAGATTGAAATTCACTGTCAAGCCAAAAGCCTACCTGCACGATTGCCTATACAACGGACTTGGTCATGCCAGTGCCAGGCAGCCCAAACACGATGTACGGACGATGTAAGGGAGGAGGTGCGGCGGCTTGGGTCGGGACGATGTAAGGGAGGAGGTGCGGCTTGGGTCGGGCGCTCGGCTGCAGGCGTGAGCTGAGTGCACCAGCAGTTGTGAACAGTGAAAGTCCTTTCAGGCCTATATCCCACCCACCTGCAAGATAGCTTCCACGACGGTCTTGGTCTTGCCGGTGCCAGGCGGCCCAAACACGATGTAGGGAGGCAAGGTACGGCACGGGTTGACTTTGAACGTTGAAACAGAAGAGAACTTACCTGTAGGATAGCTTCGACAACCGTCTTGGTCTTGCCGGTGCCAGGCGGCCCGAAGACGATGTAGGGTGGGAGGTAGGGCTCGGGCCGTGCGCCCAGCTGCAGGCGAGAGCGCACCAGCAGCTGTGCCACTGCTTCTCGTTGCTCCACGTTCAACTGGCGATCAAAGGGGCGAATGGCGGGTATCTCTGGAGAGAGAGGGAATGGGGGCACGGACGAGGACAGGATTGTAAAATAGGTGACTTTTGAGTCGACTCAAAAGTCACCTCGTTACCATGGCACACGGCACCATTTCTGGAGGGAGAGGGAATGGGGGCACGGACGAGGACAGGATTGTTGAATTTAGCGCACCAGCAGCGGTTGTGCCACTGCCTCCCTCTGCTCCACATTCAGCCGGCGATCAAAGGGGCGGATGGCGGGGACTTTCAAAACAGGGAAGGGGCAGTTGGGAGTCGGGTCGGGACCAATGCCCTTAACCCACTGGTCTTGTGACAAAAGCCTGACTAAGTTTGCTGCTCGCTGAAAATTATGTCACAAGACCAGTTGGGACTTTCAGAACAGGGGGGGGGCAGTTGGGAGTCGGGTCGGGACCAATGCCCGTAACGTAACCCACCAGCCAATGTCCTCCTCTGGCCCCACCAACCCACCAACACACCCACACACACCCTCCGATGCTGAAGAGCCTCTAGGGGATCTCTGAAGGCATCAGCACGTGCGTCAATGTCTGTTTAAGGCCTACCCGCCCACTCACTCACCAATACTGAAGAGCCTCTGAGGGATTTCTGATGGCATGAGCACGTGCTGCCCCAGGTGTCGGTTTGCGAGACCCAGTGCCAGGTGGCACGCTCTGACTGGGCCGCGGGGCACCTCGAAGCGCACGTTGAAGAGCTGGCCGGGGATGAATCGGCGGTGGAAGTCAGGGTGGAAGCGGAGGATGGCGCTCTCCCTCTCCACCCTGTGCACGAAGCCCTGGGGGAGGGAGAGCAGGGAGAATTAGGTGCATTTAAGTGGTGCCAGGTGTAAGCTGGATTGGTGGAAGTCGGGGTGAAAGCGCACGATGGCGCTCTCCCTCTCTGCCCTGTGCACGAAGCCCTGGGGGAGGGGGCGGTGGCGTAGTGGGGGCCGGGGGGGTGTGCAGCACATGCGGGTGAGTGGGTGATGAGTTAAAGTCGGGGTAAAAGCACAAGATGCCACTCTCCCTCTCCACTCTGTGCACGAAGCCCTGGGAGCCAGAGGGAGTACGAACGAGCGATTCTCACCCTGCCCCAGCACGGTCAGCAAAACACAACAAGCTTCCGCTTTCTCCCCCTCACCTTGCACCAACCACAACACTCTTACTATTACCCATTGCGCCTCCAACATACCTGATACTCAATCCGCCTCCGTGCTCCCGCCTCGTTCGCAAACGTCAGATACACCCGATCACCAAGCAGCACAGACGGGCGTTTCTCCGCCAGCCCTGGCACCGTCAGCTGGTAAAACTCGCTCACATTGCGACTCCCGCACGGCAGCACAGGGACTCCCCGAATGTCATAGTAACGAATGTCCGCCTCCATTTGAAGTTCCTCCACATGCAACAGCAGCTCGAACCGCTTCTTGTACGTGTCTAGCGTCACAGGGCCTTCAAATCCCGGTAACTGCATCTCACCGTGATGCATCCCTTCATACGTCTCCCGAACCCACTCTGGAATTCCGAACCATGGGATTTTAGCCAATTGCTCGCCGGTGCGTTTCCACCCCTCGGGCTCGACACCTGGCAGGATTTCAGCGGGCGGCTCCTCCTCCTGCTGCGATTTCCGCTGCTGCGGCTCGAACGGCGCCGTGGGAGCCATTGACTTCGTCACCTGGTCCTCCACCAGGACGTTCAGATACCGTCCGATCAGGAAGTTCTTGAAATTGAACACCAGGATGGCTTTAAGAACTCCGACAGACGAGGGTTTGATCCGCAGGGTGAGCGTGTACACTTCATTCGGGCGAACGAAGAACCCATTTCTCGGGACTGCTTCCCCTGAACCGATGAAGTAGCCAGAGAAGCCGAATTTGATGTCCGGATTTTCACCTGCGAGTTTGCAGGAGGTCAGCAGCTGGGCTTCAGTGTGTCGATTTGTGACAGTAACGAAGCCTTCTAAAGTGGATCCTACATCCAATTTTACAAGCTGGGTCACGGCGCTTCCTCCTCCTGCTGCTGCTGCTGCTGCTGCTGCTGAAGGTTGCTGCAGTGACGCAAACGGGTAGCTTATATCAATGCCATACTTTCCCCTCTCGACATATTCACGCTGATCGCGAAGCTTCCTGGCAGCTACGCGCGCCTTGTGAGTCGTATCGGACGCGCAGTGAGCCTCCAGCTGATGGAAAGAGTCGAATAAAATCTCACAGGTCGGACAGTGAAATTTCCCTCCTGCCTTGCTCCTCTGTAATGTGGCGTAGTGTCGTCTTCCCGTCAGGTGCTTCTGCAACTGCCAGGGGTTTTGACAGGTGACATCACAGATCCCGCAGCGTCGATCCTGGCTCTCAGGTGCTTTCGCAGGTAGAGGCGCCGCGTTCCGCGCTCTGACCGGAGCGCCTGACCTCTCCCGCCACGTCACTACGCCTTGCTGGAAGACCGCCAAAGAGTGCTTCGATAAAAGGAAAAACACCAGCTGATTCGGTAAAACGACAGCTCTGCCAGGCGACTGAGTGAATTGCTGGTGGGCTACGCCTAAATCCACGCGGGTTCGCGGCCAGAGGTTGCGGCTCGCAAGGTACTGACAGAACTCGCGAAGGTAGGCGGACACCGAGGCGGAATCTCGCGACGCCATGGACGCAGCTGTTGGCCGAGCTTGAGATGGGGGGAACGAGACTTGTATGCAGCAGTGCTTAACTTGCGAGTAATTCTGAGGGCCAGCTACCGAAAAGTCGACTGAGCTGGAAAAGATCGAGAGCAGGAGGATCTAGTACTGAGAAAGCGAGATGAAGATCTACGGCGACATCAAGTCCAGACTCAGGAACTGGTCTAAGAAGGCTGTAAGGAATTATTACTGTTAGATCGGATAGAAACCGAACTTTGGATTCGCGTTGTGTGTTCGACGGCGGCAGAATAACGTTGCTGCCGCTATTCCTTGCCCGTCCTCGCTTACAGAGGATCACACATCCTTCAATACCTCCGAAAAGGCGCGTGATCAGTAACCCGAGAAAAAATGTGTCACTTGATGTGAAGTGCATTGAGTAGTGGAACTAGATATCGTGATGAATGTGAATGGGATAGGTGTAGGATTAGCCCCTAATATGTGTGAGAGCCAGGAACAACTCGAGAAATGATGGGATGGTGGGGCCGTGTCCTGTATGTTCGTCTGAATGTGGCTCAATGAGGTGTTTTACGTTGTACAGCGGTCATTTATATATCTAGACTAGTTGAAGAGTATGGAACCAATATGAGCTTGTGGTTTGATCCAAATCAAGCCTCAGGGCGTATTCCTGCACTTCGGGTTATCGGCACTTCGGGCCATCCGAAATTGTGGGATCCAATCGGAAATTCGGAATCAAGAGATTGGGGTGCATTCCGATTTTCCGATTTGAGCCCACAATCTCGGATGACCCGAAAGGCTGATGACCCGAAGGGCAAGAATACGCCCTAAGATAGCCTTGGGCTTGGTTTCCGCACAACGTCAGGTTTGGCGAGGAAGCGTAAACCACAGGGTGCAAAAGAAATCATTCATGCTTTCCCGCCAATAGAAAAAACCTGGGGAGTTACTCGCTAGTTTCGCAGTGCCGCTCAGCTGCTGCGAAACATGTGGCGAAAAGCGCTGGTTTTCTAACATTGTCTTGAGAATAGTGCGTTCCATTAGGGTGTATAGCTTTTTTGAACCCGACGGAACGAACCGTGGACCGTACGTCGATGCGAAGGGTTACCATTATCGTTTAATGTCGTGCAGTTTTTCGCGAGGATGTGTGCGACGTCGCTACAAAAACGAACCGTCATGACACTTTTTCCCCTTTCCAACGACACGAAACACTGACAACGGACGGTCCGAAACACAAACGGACTGTCCGCTTGTCCGCGCACGCGATTGGCGGGCGAATTTGGATTTCAGCGGACCGCCTCGCTAGAACATTGGAAAATGCGGTTTGGATTCAAAAGTTGACATTGTCCAACCACAACTAGCCTCACTACAATACAAGAAGCCACGACATTGACTCACAACTCACTACTCCGAAGCGCTGAAGTCCACAGGCGAAAATTGCGAAGGGTTGTGACTGGCGTTACTAGTGTACATTTGAGATGGCGAAAGGAATACCATCGCGGAACCCTAGCATGTGGAAAAAGTGTCACATATGCATTCGTACCGTCCGAAGTTGCAAACATTCAAATCGGACGGTCCGTTTCGTTATAAACGTACCGTCCGATTCCATATAATCGGACGGTACGTCAAAATCACAAAATGCAAAAAAGTTACACGCTCTTACAGGACCAGGTGTAGAATACAGGCAAGTGTGTATTGTGCATTTGAAGTTAAGTGAATATTATCGAATTGCAAAAAGGAATCGAAAGCATCACTCACTTCACATAACATCTCACAGTATATATCAACCACTAGCATTTCTCAAGCCAAGCCAATGAAATAAGGAAGGAGCCCACTTATGAGAGCAACAGGCACCGCCCAAAAAGCACGGCTAAAGGCCAATCCTCCTGCCATTGGGGGCGGCGGTGGTCCAATCTTGCAGGCGAAATCAACAGTCTCGGTCCTCCTGGAAGAAAAGAAGACCAGCAGGTTAAACAAATGGAAAACACAAGAAGTGTCGCATAGAACCTGCAACGCATGTTAAACAGGGAGCGGTGGAATGACTAGCGTGGCTGTGTGCCAATTACATTTGATAGCACCGTACCTTGCAGGGCCATGATAAGCAAGAGTTTTCGAGCCATCCTGTGAGGAAGAGAAGATCATGGAGGAAGGGCCAGAGAGCTTCACAGGTACAACACCAGTGCCCTCCATGCGAGAGAATCTGCAGGCAAACGAGTTCAACAAAACATGGGTGATCAAGTATGATTAAATCTGAATCTCGGGCTGACCTTCAAACCAAAAGCCTCGATGGAACATCACCCGTGCCTTGTGTGCGAGAACATAAAATAGGTGTTTGGTGCTGAAATTCAGAGCTAACAGCTGGCACTCTCACAGGCCTACACTACGTGTATTGATGACACGCCAGGGAGCCTTTCATTTGAACAGATTCACCACAATAGTGTGCATGGCATCTGAACGATTATGTTACAGCTAAATGCTGCAGAATTCTGTCACAGAATCACCACTACATTCTCACACCTGCATCGTTGTGTATCCGTAGTCGATCAGTCGTTCCCAGCCGTCACTGACGTCTTGTTGCCCGTGCTAAACAGATTTGTCAGCTTCTCGCCCTCCATGGAGAGAGTTGAATCAAGCCTGTACGCCTGGATCAGCTGCTAATCAAAGCGTTGCCCAGGCAAAAATTACCTGTCGGCTTCACACCGTCCATAGACAGAGACTCAAGCCTGTACGAGATCTGAGCCGACTCAAAGATTGTTGTGTTCTCACGCAATAACAGTTGATCCGCTGTTTCCAGCCGTCACTGACGTCTTGTTGCCAAGGCTGAACGAAGCCGTTGGCTTCAGGCCTTCCATGGAGAGAGACTCAAGCCTGTACACCTGAATCGGCTTCTAATCACAGCATTGCCCGGGCTGAGAAAATTAAAGTGTACTCACGCAATAACAGTTGATCCGCTGTTTCCAGCCGTCACTGACGTCTTGTTGCCCAGGCTGAAAGTATCCGTTGGCTTCACGCCTTCCATGGAGAGAGACTCAAGCCTGTACGCCTGAATCGGCTTCGCCCCGTCAGTGTTGCCAATCACGGCGTCGCTGCCGGCCATTTTGCCGCCCACAGACCATCCCAGTGCCGCCCAGCCAGGCTTGGACGTCACGAGCGCGAGGTGGAGTTCCGTCGAGTTCGACCGCTTCCAGTGGAGGACGAGACTGGGGAAGGGCGTATTTGAGAAAGGGGGTTGAGACCGGGTGGAGAGGAGAAGGGGGTTGGGGGAAGTGAGGGAGGATGAACAGGAGGGAGAAAGTCTCATGTCGGCGAGATCCAGGGCGCGCGGCTCACATGGCGCGACGAGGGCTGCGAGAGGGGCCAACAAGGCAGCATGTCCAAACACTGGACGAGCCGAGCCGGATCGCGATGCAGCTCTTTCAGGCCGCTAACCAGGACTAACCAGGACCAACCAGGACCAACCAGGAGCAGCCAGGACCAGCCAGGACAACATTGTACACACAAGCGATGAGAACCGAGTTATTGGATGAGCTGTGCCCACTCACCGGCAGAGCGCATCATTCGCTGAACGCAACGCACCTGTCGCCGAGCGACACCGCGACGTCGTATCCCGAGAGAGTCGACGCGTAGCACGATGCAGGCGTCTGCGCCGCCGCTCTCGGCACGAATAGCGCGCCGATGAAGGTCGCGAGCAAGCTCGCGACTGCGAGCGACGCTCGCGCGTGCATGGTCGGAATCCTGCTAGCCATGCTCACCGGCGCCGGGTGCGACGGTCCAAGTTCAGACGGGTGCGGCTTCGAAGTTCAGAGGAGCGACGAAGGGATAGTACTCAAGTAAGCACATGACGTCCTGTTAAGTAGGGAAATTTTCTGAGCCAGAACCAGGGTTCGAATCGCACATGCTGGCGAGGCAGCGACATGGGGGAGTCTGGTGGTGATCCAACCGGGCCTGAAACGACCGTCCTTAGGAACAACCTTTCCCTAGCCATGAAAGCACTGGGACCGTGTGCGTCCACTTTAGTGGCTAGGTTCAAATATGCGTGGATGTCGCCTAAA